CCTGAGAAAACCATAGAATCGGAGCACGCAAATCCCCAAATCTGCAATTTCCTGTTGGAAATACACCCTCTGTAGTTTCCACAGTAAACTGTCTAGGATTTAAGACTTATTTGTTCGAGTGCTCATTTTCCTATTGAGGTACAACCTCCTGCCTCTAATAACTCCTCCAAAGTGTCCGTGCAACCTAATCAGTAAGATCTTCCCTGAACACCCTAAAAAAGACAGCAAGACTCTCTCCCTCCACCTTGGCACTCTTTGTATTCATTACTGTAGCTATTATTATTATTATTATTATTATTATTAGCCTTGTAATTCTGATGACCATCTGACATACTACATATATATGTGTGTGTTGTTTTGCTGTTACTTTTCTCCTTCTCTAGAATGTAAATGTCTCAAGGCCTGTGACGGTATTAGTTAGCTTTTCAGTGTGACAAATGACTCCCCAAATGTAGTGCCTTAAAATAACCACCATCTAGTGAATCCACAGGTCTGGGCTTTGACAATGTGGAATGGATGAAGCTGGGAGGTTTTTCTGAGGTCAGCTGCGCTCATCCGTGCATCTGCAGTCAGCTGCTGGGTCAGTTGAATCCGGTCTGGTCCACGATGGCCTTAGCTGGGATGACTCCTCTCTGCTCTAGGTGACTGCTCAGTCTCCAGCAAAGGAACCCAGGTTGTTCACGTGGTGGTTGGGCAGGGTTCAGTCGGAGCATGTGGAAGAGGGCAAGGCCTAGTGAGTTCTGTGCACAGCCTGTAATCACATCAGTTCTGCCCTGTTTTATTGGTCAAAGCAAGTCACCAGGCCAACTCATATTCAAGTGATGAGAGAGCATATCTTAATAGGAGAAGCTGAAAATCCCACTGCAAAAATGGTGGACACGTGTGGCCATTTTTGTAAACAACCTACCAGAGAGACTTCATCTTATTTGTTCACTGGTGTATCCGAAGCTCCTAGGAAAGTGCCTCGCCCATAGGTGCTCCAGAAATATTAGTTGAACAAACAAAAGAATGAGTGAATTGGCCCACCACTCCTGAACCAGAGGCTGTTTCATAAATCACCCCTTCTCTGGCAAATCCTTACAATATAGTATAAGCTTGCAAGACATTATGTTGTTTGTGAATATTTGCAATTAGAGTCTTAGCTCTCCTGTTCTTTTACAGTTAAAACCAATTTTCATAGTTTGCTTCTTCTCTTCTTTAGTTCTTGCAGTCAGACTAATTGCTTCCAGAGACTATGAAGCACACCGTATTTCACAGAGTGCTTCTGCCCCAAGGACTCTGGAGTAGTTTCAAAACACTTTCTCATCAATCTCCACAGCTAGCCAAGTAACAAGATAGGTGAGTCCTGTTGTCTCCTCCTTTCTTTCTCCATCTCTTCCCCTCCCAGCCAACTCATTTCCTTTTCTCTCTTCAAAGATGAAACCAGCTGAGACACAAGAAAAGGACCACTTGCCAATGCAAGATAGCTCCTTGAAATTCTGGCCTGGTGAACTTTCTGAAAGTGGGCTTGAGGAGCAAAATGGAATGCTCTGCTCTCCACTTAGTTGCCTGGATAGACACAGTCTTTTGGGCTTCACATGTCACTCTTAACACACTGCCTAACATGATGTGGTTGAGGTACCCTTCCTGAAAGGTTACTGTAGATCCTTGGAATTTTGCTATCTCCAAAAAAACAACAACAAACACATTCTACTTTTAAAAAATGCATCAGTAATCAGGGAATTCATCCAATCATTGCTTTATGAGGAGGCAATCTTCACACACTCACCCGAACGACAGATTGTTCGCATGCTGTGACATGTGTATCAATACCTTTACCAGCAGATCCCTGCCATCTGGGCTGGAAATTCTTTTAGCAGAGAACAAAGCCTTCTCTTATTTCCAGAAAAACTGAAAAAACGAAGAGCCATAGGAGAAGCAACTCCCCACTTTCCCTTTTCCGTCATTCGCCCAAATCTACTTGGCTCAAAACCTCATCAGCGTCTTCACCTCCCTCTCTCTTCACATCCAGACACCAAGTCCTGCCAGCTCTTTCTCTGATGTATTTTTTCGTCTCATCAGCATCCCACATTCAGGCATTTATTGTTTCACACCTGCATCATTGAAATTACCCCCAAACAGAACACTTCTGCTTATAATTAGTGGTCCTCACTAACTAAAACTACATCTAGTTTTTAACCTGGTATTGTAATGCTGCCATATATGATTTCCAGGACTTTTTTCTGTATTTACCTACTACTGTGTGAATCTTCTGCTTTGGCTAAAATGCCTAATTTGCATTTCCAGAAGGATCTCCTACCTCAAATTCAAATGGTATATTATGGGTAAAAATCACTGCAGAATCACCAACATTACATAAATGTGAATTACTGTGTTGTATCTACCCCTGGTCACCCTGTTGTCACTCTTTAATGGTTTAATGAATTTCTCCTTCGTATGCTCTGCCCTTTATTTTGTTCATACCAGTCTTCTTGTCTAGTTAATTACCTGCATCCTCACCCAACTCCTTTGGCTTTAGACTCATCTCCTCTCTCTTTTCCCAGACCCTCAGGTTGACATAACATATGGGAAGTTTTGAGCCTGCATCTTTCTGTAGGATCACGACCTCCATAATCAACCCAAGCTAATGCACCTAGGAATCCAAGTGAAAACTTCATCTCAGGCCCTCACTTGAAAGAAGGAAGGAACCAGGTTGTCTTTGGCACCTCATAAAGAATCTCTCTCTCTTTATATTACTACTCATGTACTCAGAGCTCAGTCCTGGATATTCTGCACAGCTTTCTCTACCCTATCTTCCCTACTCACTCACAGACCACAGTGATCTTGTCCTCTGCATTTTTCTGGATCCAAACTCCTGTGGTTTGTCCTGTTTAGATGATGCTTATATTCTGCCATGAGTTTTTACTTAGCCATAGCAGTTTATTCTTGAATACCCAAGTAGGTTGGAAACTTCTTCAGGGTGTCAACAGCAGCTTATATTAATTCATAGTCCCATATTTCAACATAATCCAGTAGAACCTGGCTTGTGATGCTGCTAATTGGTTATCTGGGCTTGTTAGTCACACTGGAAGGGGTGGATAATAATTCTCTCTTAATTGGAGTGTGATAAAGCTCCAGAAGCCCAGTAGGGAACAGCCATTGTCTCCTTGGAGAAAAAGATGCCAAAGCAGAGAACAAAGGCCAAGAAGGGAGATATTCAGAATGTAAAAGTCAAATATACTAAATGCATCATTTTACTCACGGTCTGATACGTGTTTATGTAACAGTCTTCAAATGAAAAACTCCAGACAGTTTTTGTTCTCTCAACTTCTGTCTTTACTTTCCATCACTGGGAGGATATGAATGCACATACCTTGCCTAAACTAGGCTTCATGCAGCTTCAGAGAGCTCTCTTCTGTGATCATAATAGCTCTGACTTTTGTTTTCCCCTTGGGACTTACGTGGGTTTACCTTGCCCCGAAGCTCTCATTCTGACATCAGAAAGAAGTGAAATGAACAAACATAACATGGGAAACAAGAGCCATTACCGATGATTCCAGTAGGGAAGAGAGAACATCTGAATTAATTTTAACATAGTAATAGATATTACATATAAAACTCCACTGTTAAATGAGACCCAGCCAGAAAGGAAAATGCCTTTCTACTTTTCATTGAGTGAGAAACCCAAATCAATATGTTGCTTTATTTGAAACCAGGGAGGCTGTTTTCTTCCATCTGGACATTGTGGGGAAGACAGAGGAGGGAACTCAGCACTGTCCACTGCTTTAAAAACGCAGCATTGGCCCCTGGTGCTTTTACCAGAGGCTGCATTTCTCTCTTGCAAATCCCCCATCTTGTCCGTATTAGACAGATGCCTAAATCTTAACTTTAGGTGTCAGTCAGGAAAAATGCACGGTTGCATGGCCAAATGATGAAATGTGACCTTCTCTTATCAGAGACAGAATATTTTTAAAAAAGAATCACTCCTCTAGAATGAGTTTCTATACTAAGAACTAAATTTATTTCTCTAAGTGTCAGATCCCTGATCCGTATAGCAGGACCTTCTCCTGGTAACTGTATTTTTTTTAACTTCAATTTTACAATTGTACAAATAAATACAAATAGACCATGATTCTGATTAAAATAAAGATGCATGTGTTACTGATAACAGTTTATTATAGCATTACCATTATTAAAGTCCTTTATTGTCACAGAGGGGAGTGAAGGCCAATTTT